TCTTTGACCTGTACTGTGATGCAGGTTTTCACAATCGATTGAAGACTCGAATTGTTCGGCCTGACTCTACGAAAGAACTTCCTTCTGTTATCACTGATAACATGTCGGTTGCCGATTCGTCGGTTTACGATTCAACTTCTCTGCTTCTTCTGCCTCTCAACCTAAGGCCTTGGCCCTTGCTGTTTTTTATGTTTTCTTAGGTTTTCACCCAGATTCTTTACAAATGGCCATTTCTTAAAGACTAAGTATCTTTGTTGAGGAATGGTGGGGAAAAGGTTGGGCTTGAGTGCATAAGGCAGGGTATGAGCTGCGGAAGGCCGAAAAGTTGACCCCTTTAGTGCGTGTGATGTCGTTTGATTCTTGTGTGTGATCGCAGGTATGCGAGGAGAAGCGTCGATTGAGTTTTGATGGTTGATTGTTGTTGAATTCGGATGGGCAATCCACACAACTGTCGTGAGAGTGGACTACCACACAAATCTTTGTTTTGACTATGTGTGTCACGTTTATATCTTTATAGAGGTTTGGTGTTTTTATCCGTGGTTTCCTCCAGTGCTTGTTATTGTTTCCTTGTTTTAAAGTTTATTTCGGTGGAACGATAAAGTTCCGGGCGGAAGGACTAGCGTGTCGCTGGTGATGCGCCAGACAACTCACCACCGCTCCGAATTCCATCCGGCCCTAAGGACCATTTTACCTTGCACCCTTTAGGGCATCACAGGGTGCAGAAGATGGTAAAACCCTTAAACCACTCTTGCACTCACTAAAGGTTTACCCCCTTTTGGCACGCGCTTTAGCCGACGCCTGAGCGTCGAGAGTGACCCCGTGGCTCGGGTGAGGCCATTCGATTATGGGCACTACACAATGCGTCGTCATTACGACTGCTTACGAAGGACTGCATTGCTAAACGGTATGCGTAAGTCTTATGCCTGCGCGAGTTTATACTAATCCTCGTCCGTGTCACTCACTGATTTCCGCGTTTAAAAGTTATGGGTCAAGCGGAAAAGACAAGCGCATGCTGCAACAAGTAGCCCCAAGTTTCGGTAATGTGAAGTGGCGAGCGGACGGACCACTAGTCCTAGTCGGCTTAAGAGAGCCTGCATACGAGGCTCTGACACTTCGAACGACGATTCTCACTTGGCCCTAATTTGGGCATTGTCCGCACACACCCTTCATACGAACCTGCCATTTCCTATTTTTGAAGGGCCTATCAGGCTATACAAACTGGAATATGGGGTAAGTATAGGGGAGCAAGGGGTGAGACTCTTTTGTTTTTTGTGAAAGCTTCCTTTTTGGATATTTTTATAGTTGGACGTTGGAGTCCGTGGCAGTCATCAAAGTCAAACCCCTTGATCTCTGGCCGCCACGACAGCCCTGAAGTTGTCTACTCAACCCCTCTCCACAGGGTGCAGAAGAGGGTTTGGTGATCAAACGCCTTAACGGTTGTCTAGCGTCGAGAGGTTAACCCCTCAAGGCGCGTGTCAGCCGACAGTATCCGACCCATAACTTTTTAATACGATAATCGGTTAGACGTCGCGCGCGAGACTCAAGATAAATTCGTACGAATGCTAGGCCTTTCTCATATCGACTAGCAATGCAAGCATACGCACGCAGTCGCAATGATGGAGTACTATGTGGTACCCATAACTACGAGGCCCTCAGTGGTCTCAAGGGCCACGTTTCGACACTCAACTGAAGGGACTAGGGGAGTTTGTTTTTGTGTTTGTGTGTATTTTTTTATTTTTGTGTGGTGTAACGCGTGGTGAGTGGATTGCGTCCTAGTCGACCGACGACGAGTAGTGCTTGCGACCTCAGCCCCCCAATGCGTCGATTCGCGTGCGGGTCCGATTGAGGGGCGTTGACCGCGCGTACCCCCTATGCTACAGCGAACGAGAAAACGCCCTCGGCCGGGCCACCTTTGCGATTGCATACGAAAAGCCTTCGCAAGTGGTTCGGTAGCTCGGCGGGGATACGCCCACCCAAGGGATGGTGACAGCTCCCGCAGGTGGAGGTAAGCGGTGCCTCGCGTGACCCTGTCTTGTCGTAGGGGCTCGCGAGAGGTACAGCTGGTGTACTCGGCCGGAGCGGCGAACGCTTTCCGCGACAAGTCCTGCAAAATCCTGTGTGACGCAGCCGGGAGGGTCCCCGTGCGGGACCAATGCGTTGGACAGGTGGCGCCGTTGCCGGGGATCTCGGCTGCCTACCGGGGTCCATAGAGAACGAACCCAGGTTAAGTGGAGGCTGATGATCCAGGCAAAACGACAAAATTATATGATTATGACTAATTCTTATAAGAGATACGTATGTAGTATGTAATTCCTTCTTACTAACGATGATGTAAGTGGTCAGAGTGTGTGACTATGAGTATGTCAGAAACTGTATCTATGATTCCTATATAATTAGACGTAACCTTAGTTACGGCATAGGTAGAACACGCGAGAAGTTGAAAAGCGATTGATGGGTCATCCTCTTTTTTTTTTTTTGTCGTAACAGGTATATAAAGATGTTGGAGGCAGATGGAATCGAGCGGGGTCCAGGTGCTACGCCTGAGGACTTCGTCAAGGCTATAGAAAAGAGGGAGTTGGCACGCCTACAAGTGTTGAAGGTTGACATCTTCCAGTTTAAGGGAGAAAGGGTGTCCGAATGGTTAGAGATGTTTGAACAGGTGACGAGCGAGGCATCTGAGGCGGAGAAGTTCAAACTGCTGCCCAAATACATTTCGTGGGAGATCCGCCTTGAAATTATGAAGGTGGCTGCTGGGGCAGCTGGAGTTTGGAAGAGTTTCAAAGATGAGATGCAGAGGCGCTTCAAGCTGGTAGATGGCCTACTAACAAAGGCAGATTTAAAAATGCTGCAAAGAGACGATTTCACCACGGTGGGTGCGTTCGCAACGGCTTTTGAGAAGATGGCGAGGAAGGTCCCTGGGATGGCGGAGGAAGAGCAGTGTGCAACCTTCCTAGGACACTTCACGAATTGGGAAGCCTCCGCGCTAACTAAGAAGGGAGCGCTAGGGAAGAAATTGACATGGGCAGTGATAAAGAAAAGCGTAATAGACGGGGAACTAGACCAGATGGACATTTTTCAGATGCGGCAAGCCAGGAAAAAGAGAAAGGCTTTGGATGCCACAACGAGTGATGGGCAGGATTTTAAGAGGATGGTAGAGGATGCAGTGGCCCAACTCGATGCGGCAAAGGAGGCTAATGTTGCAAAGAGGGCTACGGTAGTAACACCGGTCCAAAGCGAAGCAAAGAAGACAGTGGTAATAGAGGAAGAAGAAGAAGTTACCGTAGCACCGGTCCAAAGCGAAGCAAAGAAGACAGTGNGAAGACAGTGGTAATAGAGGAAGAAGAAGAAGTTACCGTAGCACCGGTCCAAAGCGAAGCAAAGAAGACAGTGGTAATAGAGGAAGAAGAAGAAGAAGAAGAGGAGCATGAGCCTCAAAGGCTAACTAAGGCTCAAAGGAAAGCAAAAAACCTGACTCAAGGGGGGCAAGGCTAAGGGAAGGGCCAAGCCTCACAAGCTGCGGCATTTCCAACCCCTTAGTCACATGGTCAGGCCGCACCGGCACCATATGGGCCATGGCCAGGCTATGGAACCCCCAAGTCCCTGACCTGGATATGGTCCATATGCGCCGTGGCCAGTAAGTGGGCAGCATGGACCCTGTACGGGGCCCCCGTTAAGTATGGCCTCCTTCGGGTGTCCAGGACCACTATCCCAACAGGTAAGCCACCCGAACCAACCACCAAGTCAACCCCAGCAGTTGGAGCCGCAAGGGTCGCAAGGAAACCGAGGCGGCGGGCGTGGACAGAACCAAGGATGGGGTCGAGGGAGAGGAAACGCTGGCCGTGGTGGAAATGGGAGAGGAAATGGAGGTGGAAATTCGAGTGGAGGAGGAAATGGGGACTGGAATGCTTCTGGAAGCCAGGGTGGTCAGGAAGGCGGATGAGGTTTTGGCAGAGGACGAATAGATTGGAGGAATGTCATTTGTTGGCATTGTGGACACAAAGGCCACACCATCAAATTCTGCCACGTTCGAAGGAATGATGAAGACGAGGGATTGATTAGCACCAACTACGACGGTGATATGTATGATAAGTATGGGTACTACATTGATCCTAAGACCCCTGGCGGAACGAGAAAGGAGGCCTTGCGACGAGCCGAGGCCGGCAGGCCACCTGCTCCCCAGCTATGTTTCGAATTTGGCAAGAGGAGGAGGCCCGTCCTGATGTGAGAGTGGAGGAAGTTGGAGAGAATGAGGAGGTAGAGCAGGAAAGAAAAGCCGGCACCATCAGAGAGGAGCCTATCGTGGTAGAATCTGATGATGAGAAAGAAGAAGCGTGTTGGCATGAAGCGCGACAGACCCTGGAAAGAATGGAGGATTTGGTAGCAAAAGTTGGAAGGTATCAAAGGAAGTTGACCGATTTGTGCGAGGAGGTCAAGGAATGGAAAGGAAAGGAGCCGCTAGTATATCTCTACGATATGGGAACAGGAACACAAGGAGGGTCCGAAAACTTGCCAGGTATGACAATTTCGGGGCCAACGCCTCGATCAGGAATGACCTATAGGCCTCCATCAAGGTTAGGAAGGGCACCTCAGGCAGTCAAGACAAGGGCAAAGGGGCCGGTAAGCCCCGAAGAGCCGGCGAAGGATATCCCTAAGCCTAGTGGGGAAAAAGAGGTTGTGGACGTCCCTGAGGATGAGGATGAGGAGGATGAGAGGTTGAGAAGAGAAGAGGACAAGAGGGCCGAGCAGAGAGCAAAAAAGAGAGGTGTTAAGATAGACGTGGACAGAGCCCCGGAAGGTTAGAAGAAAAAGTACACTGTCCGGGTCGAGGAAGGGTACGATGTGGAAGAGATGATGGACAGAATCCTTGAGGATCATAATCATCTTATGAACCTTAAGGATGTGTTGGCCTCAGCACCAAGGCTTCGGGACGAGCTTAAAGCTCGATTGTCCAGGAAGATGGTGACTAGCGTGCGATTGGGGGCCATAATCCTCAAAGAAGCAGAATGGGCAGAGACCGGCACGAAGATGGATTGTAAGTCCGTTGCATGCGGGTGCTTGGACGTAGTAGTCAAAGGAAAGACGTGCACGACAATGGTGGACAGTGGCGCAGAGATGAACCTCATAAAGGAGGAACACGCTTTGCGCTTAGGGATGGAGATAGATCGCTCCGATAACGGGGTCCTAATGGGGGCAAACAGCCAGTCAGTGCTCGTAGGGACCGCGTCGGGGGTAGTTTTGGAGATTGGGAAAGTGAAGGTAAGGAGTTGTTTCTTTGTGTTGCCTGATCTCGATCACCCCATCTTGCTGGGCCGATCATTTTTTAGTAGGACGGAGACCCTTATACTCAACAAACATGATGGAACTATGCTTCTCGTTTTATGTGACCCTGTATGTGGCAATTATGAGGTTGTTACTTGCAAAAATACAGGGGCTAGAAGTATAAGGAACCGGCCCAACCCTGGCTCCTTCACGATCGAAGATTCGAAAGAGGAAAGGAAGAGGCTTGGGGGCAGCGAGTTTGAGGAAGAGAGGAAGCTAGAAGCACTGACCCTTAGCCTGGCCAGTATAGGCGATGCTATGGAGATAGTATCGACCTATGGGATGGCAGACCCGGAGGCAGTGGAGGCCTTGAGAGAGAAGGTGGTGGAGCAGATGGGAGAAGGAGAGGCGGAGTTCGTATATCGGACACCTGGAAAGGTAGGAGGGTCGGTGGGAGCCCAACCCCAGAGTGCCACTTGACCTTTTTTAGGGGTAGGCTCAAGCAGGGTTCACAAAGGCGGTACAAAAGGGAAGATCAAAAGTGCCGCCGTGTTCCCGTACTCGTTGCTGAAGAACAGGAAGTTTACTACGAGCGGGAACGAGAGCTGATACGGCAAATGCGAGAGGAAGCGCGAAATGGACCATCTCGTATCACTCTTAAGACAGAGAAAGCGCTAATTATAGGAGAGCTAGACTTCCTTACAGCGCAGGAGGAGAAACTTATGGTAGAGACCACAAGAGGAAGGCATACTGCATATGCCTTCAATGATGATGAACGGGGACGTCTCGATGTGGACAAAATCCCAATGATTAGGATACACACTGTACCTCACGAACCATGGAATTTACGAGGTGCGCGGTATCCTAATCCAGCTGATGAAGAGAAGGTAGTTGAATATCTTGATGGGAAAATCCGCACTCATGTTTCTGACTACTCGAGCGGACCGTATGCATCCCCTTGGTTTTGCTTTGTCAAACCAAATGGGACACTGAGGTGGGTACAGGATTTGCAGCGCTTGAATGTTGTAACAGTCAGAGATGCAGGGGGTCTCCCTAACGCTGATGCGCTTTCAGAGGCATGCGCTGGGAGATCCATAATATCTCTCATAGACTTATATTCTGGTTACGACCAGTTTCCTGTTTACCCTTCTGACAGGCCAATGACTGCGATGCATACCCCTCGAGGGCTGATTCACATGAATGTCGCACCACAAGGTTGGACAAATGCGGTTGCTATGGTCCAGAGACACATGGTGAGGGCAATACAACCAGTGAGTCCTCACATTACGCAACCTTATATCGATGATTTAGCCGTGAAAGGGCCTACGGAGAAGAATGAGCAGGAGGTGATGCCCGGGATTAGGCGTTTTGTTTGGAACCACGTGCAAGACTTATGCCAGGTTCTGGACTTACTAAAAGAACATAACCTCACTGTCAGTGGGTCGAAGTCAAGGCACTGCATGCGCGAAGCCACGATCTTAGGGTTTGTGTGCGACGAGAAGGGTCGTCGGCCAGACATTAAGAAGACGAATAAGATTATCGAATGACCGATACTATTCGAGACGATCACGGAAGTAAGAAGCTTCCTCGGAATGTGCGGCTTTTGGAGGATCTTCATAAAAGGGTTTGCGGCAAAGACCGAGCAGCTGCGGAAGCTCGTACGCCAAGGTCAAGATTGGGAATGGGAAGACAAACAGGAGTCAGTAATCGAGGGTTTGAAGGAAGAGTTTGAGGAAGGGGGTCTAGTACTGGGGGTACCAGACCATACGGCTGTGATAATCAGACCTTTTATCGTAGAAACGGACGCGGGGCCGGCTGCCCTGGGAGGTGTACTGATCCAACAAGACCTCAATGGAGAAGAACGGCCTTTAAGGTTTGAGAGTCGAACGCTTAACACAACTGAGAAAAATTACTCCCAGTTTAAGCGCGAGACCTTGGCAGTTCTTCACTGCTTGAGGATTTTCAGAAACTACCTTTTCGGAAGTAGGTTTGTGTTGAGGGTGGACCCAACTGCTCTAGCTGGTTCCCTTAAGAATTTCGCTCCTTCGGATCCGACCATTGCCAGGTGGTTGACGTACATCTGGATGTTTGACTTCGAGTTGGAGCGTATTCCAGGGAACAAGAATAAGGCAGATGGGTTAAGTCGCGTCGACTGGGACAAGGGTAACAAAGGGGTAGTCGAGGATACTCCTCCGGTCGACGGTTCCCTGGACAAGGAAGAGGACGTTAAACTCAACATTAACTCCTGGTCATTGGCTATAGGTAACTATGTTTCTCCTGGACGACCTATATGGATCGCACCTCCGGGACATGTACGGCGACCAGATATAATCCTGAAGCCCTATGTTGAGGAAGATTCTTGGGGAATGCCAGGAGTGGAGTGGATGATGGATTTGGCCTTGGCAGATAAGTACCACATGCGGGAAGATCTGGTCACACTGGAGAACGGACCCCAACAGGTAGAAAAGCATGAACGATTGATAGGTGGAACGTACATGCTGGCAAACTCGTTGCTTCAAGAAGAGGTTGCTAGGATTGAAGGAGAGAGGCAAGATAGAGAGGAGAATGTGGTCCACGAAGGCGAAGACGATGACTTTGAAGACGGTGAGATAAAAGAGCCCTTTCGCTCGGAGGAGTATGACGGAATATATCTGAAGCTATGAATGGTCCTTTCGTGTGAAATGAGAGAAAAAGATGCTAGCGAAAAGATCCTCAAGATGCGGCCAAATTTCTTGGTGAGAGACGGCCATCTGTTTATGAGAAGTAAAAGGAGGAATCCCAGAAGGGTGGTCTGCGGCGTAAATCGACAGATTGACGTTATGGCAACCCTTCATGATGGAACGGCAGGTGGCCATAGGAGTGCAGATGTGACGTACTTAAAAATTCACGATTTATATTATTGGGATGGCATGGGACACATGATTAACAAATACTGTAAGTCTTGTATACCATGTCAGGAGCGGTCTTCCGTTAGACCTAGGGAACCACTTCACCCTAGATATATACGTAAGGTTGGGGCAATCGTTCATCTGGACCTATTGGCAATGCCGCTGGGAATAGGAGGACATAACTACATCTTTGATGCACGAGACAATCTCTCAGGGTTTGAGTATGGTAAGGTTATTCGCACAAAGACTGAAGAGGTATTGGCTCGATGCATCGAAGAATATTACCTCCGTTATCCGTTCGTCTCAAAATTCGTAATAGACAGGGGGTCTGAATTCACTTGTGCGGAAGTGAAGACATTGCTGAAGGGATATGGTGTGTATACGACTGCGGCACACCCTCAGGCTAACGCTCCAGTGGAAAGAGGACACAGTACCATTACGAATCTCCTCGCAAAATGGACAGATGGCAGGCCTAATCAGTGGCCTAATTTCCTAAGGGTCGCCTTCTTTGTGGAAAACGTCACTATCAGAAGAAGCACCAACTACGTGCCGGCTACATTGTGGTATGGCAGGCATGCGACGTTCCCTATAGAAAGTTTCCTAAAGACTTGGAGACGACAAGACCTCGAGACAACTTTGTCTTTTGAGGAGTTGCTTGATCTAAGGGCACGTCAAATTGGAGCCATAGAGGATAAGGTACAGGGAGCGGCAAGTAGGGTGGCTGACAGCCGAACCAAGGACCAGTTGGCACGAGTAACGAAGAAACCTCTCAAGGTGGGGGACACCGTGTTGCTGTACGACTCGTCCCTAGAGAAGCAGTGGTCGAGAAAATTGGACAAGCGGTGGTTAGGGCCATACAGGATCACAAGGTGTGGCGAGCATGGAGCATATCAGATCGAGGAAATGAATGGAACGGCGTGGAAGGATTGGATGTCAGGCTCGAGGTTAAAAAAGTTTGTCGCCCGGGATGAGGTGAGCATGAATCTCACAAGATCGTGTCACTTCCTTTGAGTATATTGGATGGGGGTAATTAGTATAAGTAGGTTATGTAGGATGTTAACATCAATAGAATGGTATGATAGGTTATCATATTGAGATAGATTTATGTATATACAGGTAGATACTATAGAGAGGTATTATAAATGATTATGGGAAGGCTATGTTTGTCTCCTGGCTGTGATTGCCTAACCTGCTTACCCTTTGTGTGCTCCTGTTTTGTCCCTTCCTTGTTGTGCAGGCTTGATACTTTTCTGGGCAGCCATGCCAAGAGGGAGAGGGAGGGCAGGGCCAATGGAAACCCCTCTGGGGGTGACCAGACAGAGGATGCAGATCAGGACCAGGAGAGAGGACATGCCTCCAGTTTTTCGGGGAGGGAACATTGAGTTGTTCCTGATTGAGTTCGGGAGGCACGCTCATGAGTTTGGATGGGATGGAATAAAGATGCTAAGGGAAGTACGAGGCACAGGGGAGTGGGCTGAGCCAATTGTCAACCTTGTCAAGGAATCACTTACCGGGCAGGACTTTGAGAGAAAGATGGAGGGCCTGCACCATCGCCAATAGGAAGAGATGGTCAACCCATTCAATTCGACGACACTAACCTGAGAGACTTTTTGAGGGCGTATGATCAGTATGCAGACAGCCTCAATGAGCCAGGGAACCAGAGGGTTGGAGGTTTTCTCCTGTTTGTGAGGCGGCACATTAGATCCTTTGTCAGATCTATTGTGGAACCTGCCACGAACTGGGGCCATTGTAAGAAATTGCTTTGGAACTACTACACTCCGGCTCGTCTGGCAGAGGAGAGAAGGGGTATGGAGAAGAAGAGGAAGGAACCGGAGGTTATGGAGAGAAGGACCTTTGAGCAGGGCACGTCATCAGAGGCTCAGAGGGAGGAGCATAGGCCTCACAAACATGAGAAGAGAGAAGAGCGGCCTGCTATAAGGACCCAGAGGAGAGGAGTATCAGGTGGTTCGGGAGTGCCCCCACAGCCTGCTTTGAGGGATGAGGGTCATGATATGCCAGAGATGGAACCCGATATGCCTAGTGAGCCACTGGTACAGGAACAGAGGAAGGAGCAGACTGCCAAAGAAAAGGAGTTGGACAGGATTAACAGGGAGAAGACAGAGAAGAATATCGCAGTCCAACTCAGGCTGACGAACCTTGCAAAACTGCATGAGAAGATGCAACAGGGAGAGCAACCTGTGGAACTGAAGGACAGGAAAGGAGAGGGCGTTTAGACTCAGAAGGAGGATCCTCCCCTGCTTACAGAAGTGTGGGAAAGTTTTGACAAACTGTTGGAGGTTGCAGGGAGGCCTAGGGAGCATCATCAGGAGATGGGAGTCAAGCTGGTCTCGACAGACTTGCTTAGCTTGAAGGGCCTCATGAAGGGGGGTTTTGCGGCAGCCAAGACCTCAGATCAGAAGGTTGGAGAGAGGCTGACGAAGGTGGCACAAAAGGTCTATGGCCAGAGGGTGGACTGGGAGAAAGAGGTGGACGCCCTGAAGAAGGAGCTGGAAAGGCAGAGTAAGGAAATGGAAGCAGTGAAGGCAGAAATGGCAAAGCTCTGGGCAGGCAACGAGGCCATCAGACACGTCAATCAGACCCTCAACAAGGTCAATGATGCTCCGAGGGCCTATCTACAGGCACAACAGGTTTCCTTTCAAACGAAGGAAGCTGAGTGGGAGAAGAGGATAAAAGACCTTGAGGCTAGATGTGCACAGCAGGCTCCTACTGCAGCGGTGGATTGGACAGAGGTCCAAGGGTTTGAGATCAAGAGTCGACCTGCTGAAGAAACCTTCAAGTGCAAAAAGGAAGAAGAGAAGGCGAACCAACAGAAAAATGAGGAGATCCCCCTGTTAGACAAGAAGATGCTGCAGCCGGAGGAGATACCCACAAGGAAGGAGGCAGAGAGCGATGAGTTAGAGTGGCAAATGCCCGCTATTTTGACACTTGAGCAGGTACAGAAGACTGAGAGTGCGACGCGGCAAGCAGGAATCACTGGAGATAAGGACGCTCCTCCTACCACTCAGGGAGAGGCTACAGGAGTGCAGGAGGCTCAGGAGAGTGTAGGGCAGGTCATGGCTGAGGTTGAGGTGAGAGAGGGTCTGAAGGATTGTCAGGAGTCGACCACACCTCAGGGTATGCCTCTTGTTATAGGACTGGAGGAGGCATTGGGACCTTGGGCTATTGGTTCTGGGCCAGAGACACGAGGAGGTAAGCAGTTGGCACAGACAGACGACAGAGCGGTCTGTCCTACTCCTTCAGAGGCTCCTCAGCAGGAGGTCACGAGTGAAGCCACAGCAAGAGGGGCAGGCATCGATCTGACGACTGACGCAAAAGAAGACTGGCAAGTGCTTCTACTGCAAGAGGGGCAGGCATCGATCTGACGACTGCCCCAAGAGCCTCAAAGATGAGGCAAATGGCTTGGCTACCAGAGACTCATCCGGAATGTGGAGAGATAGAGATGGGGTCCCAGTTCTTAAGACTCGTGATGGGGTGAGGGCGCAGTTGTATAGGCAACTGCAGATGGTCATGAGTGATCAGGAGTAGGGTTCATTGATAGGGTCCGGAAAGATCTATAGCTAGCATGTATGAAACATCTCTGATTAGTAAGTGATGGATGATTGTATATAGAAGGACACGTGGAGGATTGGATCACGCCCATGTACATCAGTAACTAGAGTTAATACTGAGATGTTTTTTTTCCTTCGCATTATAGACTTTCTGGATTAGTTGTACATAGGGTAACTTTGAGTGTGACTCTGATTACTTTACCTTTTTTTTTCTTTAGTGTGGTGTGGAGTGTTTTTAGACAGCGTTTTTTGTATGAGTGTTGCGATTCCTTCTCTTTCAGAGCGGTGTGAGACAGACTATGTGTGAGTGGTATGAGGTGTGGATACTTTCGTTTGATGATCTGATTCTTTGTTGGATACTGTGACTCTTTGTACGATATTTGGACCTTTTTTTGTACGACACTTTATTTCCTTGTGTAATACTTGGATTCTTTGTATGATACCTTTGCTTATCGCAAGGCCCCGCATTCTGTGTATATGTGCGAGTCTCAGACATCTTTCTTTTTGTGTGGTATGTCACACTCACTCTCAGTTTGTGGACTTGCTCATATGAATGATTGTTGTGATGAAATAAACGTTGTGAAATGACCAAATCTGCACTATCTTCCTCTGTACTTAGGCATACCTGTCACAGTGGCAGACGTAGTCATAAGTACAGTGAAAGAAATTGCACCTCACCTCTGTTTGAGAGAAAATTTTATGTGTATATTCAACAAAGACTTGAGTGATGATAAATGGGGATGGTCACAACTAAAAGTTGTGTCTTTTATGTGGTTCAAAATCGAAAGAAGAAAACTCAATGGCTGGTTGGGTTTTTCTTATATGGAAATGAAATTATAGAAGATCACTCTAAATGAGATGTTATAACGATGAGAAATGTTTGTGTGAATGTAAGTCTGACGAGGAAAGACCAAATTTTTTTAGAATTATAGATGGAAACTTCTGGCAATTATGATGGAATAATCAGTGCAAACTAACGAATCAATCGGCGGTCCGAGTTGGAAATAAGTTAGAGTTTTGGATAACGCTACGCGAGCCGCAACCTCAGGCATGCTGACGAAGTCACGGTCAGCGCAGAACTTAGCCATTGAAATCACAGCTAGGAGGGAAATTTTGGTTAACTTACTGAGAAGGCGGCATTTTGGGACCGCACCGTGTGGAGTGTGCAAGTACTAGGCCTGGCTATAATGAGTGTCGACGGTGGGAGCCGAGGAAAGCTTTAACTTGGTACAACATGAGCAAAAGTCGGGGTCTTTCCAACCAAAAGGGGTAAAGACGCGCTCGTTTGACGGGTGCGGAGGGCTATGAAAGCCTCGGCCGCAGCCGCAGTGTGGCAGGGCAGTGCACGTGGTAAGCTGAGCGATAACTGTCCTCCCAAGCAACCAAGCACGACATTGCGAGACCATAGGCTCGAAAGGCGGGGCAAGCGGCGACCTTGGTACACTAGCTACAGGCCCATGCATGCTGCGAATACTAGTGATAGAGGAATTCGCGTGTGCTAGGATCAGGCTTGGGCTTAGCCCTATTGGTTAACATACTGAACTTTCAGCCAGCAGATCCCGGGATCGAGACCAGCAGCCAACATTGGAGGAGCGAAGGAGCGCTATGGAGCTAAACTAAGGGGTTGAAGGTCCCGCGGGACTATCCCCCTTGGTTTTGCAGAGGACTCTGACCGCGGGCCCAGTATGCAGGACCGTCGCTGGGTTCCGACGATTCCCCTCCCCCTATCCGTTTTCTTAATTTCTTTTTTTTGAGTTTTGTTAATTATTATCTATTTTTATTTTTCTTCTTTCTGTTTATTACTGTTTCGGGACGCGGCCCGGTATCGTTCACGGGGTCGGCCGTGGGACCCAAGAGCCTAGCTTAGTGGGTACACCATTGAACTATTGAAATACAGATCCATGTTCAAACCCAGATCATGGAACTTGATGAGTAAAAACAAGTACTCTGAATTGTTTGGACCCGGTCGATCTCGCGACGGTACCGTAAGGTCGTCGCTTGACCGTGGCCCTTCGGGACATCCGTTAAAATTGGAACGATACAGAGAAGATTAGCATGGCCCCTGCACAAGGATGACACGTATAAATGGGGGAGAGCCACGGTCTTTTCCTTTGGCTGCTGTGTACTGCGTTTGTCGTCGTTACGCTGTTTGACTAAATTCGTCGTTGGCTTTCCGTGTCGAACGATGTGGTCGGCGCCAACGTGGGGGCGCGGAAGACGGGAGCTTGACGAAGAGAAAGGAAAAACGGTCGTGGGCGATGGTGATTGCGCTCATGTCTGAGCTTAGCGAAATGTAAGGCCTATATGAGTGGGTGTCTCATTCACGAAGGTCGCTTCCTCGTTGCCTGTGCCCGGTGGGAAGCACCTGAATCCAGCTGCAGAGGCGGCCAGATACTCCGAGAGGTGGGAGAGAGGCGGATACTTACCTGGCATTGGCAGAGGGTACCGACGACCGCTTGCTTAGCACGACAGTCAGGCGATAGCTGGTGAAGCGAAGTTGCGCAACACAAGGAGGCGGTCGGGACGAGGCAGGCCACTCCTTCATCGAGTTATCACCCTTCGTCGCTCTCTGAGGAACCACGATCCCCTACTACGTGGAGTACGTCGGCTACGGAGTTGCAGGGACGGTGCAAGTATACGATAGGCGCTGAAAGGAGAGCAAAGCAGGGACTTGACGAGGAGAGAAGAGGATAAGTGGGAGAAGAACTTACCCGGTTGATGGGATCTCGTGAAGAGACGCGCTGCTACTTGAGACGTCGGGTTTGCTCGTCCTGTCGAAGGGGTAGCGTGAGCCAGCCGCAAGATTGAAGATTTTGTACCAGTTACGAGCGTAGGCAAGGAGGGAGTAAAAGGGGATGTATCTCCTCAAGTTCTAGCGGAAGATTCATTCTCATTTTTGCACATTTGGTGGACTGATGTCTGTAGCAGGAGTGGCAGCGACCATTTTTGACACGTCGCCTGTTAATCGAGCCACCTGGGTTGTGCGCGTCTCCCCACGATCATGATTAGATCGCCCTCGGTTTCGATTGAGTAGGTCCTCTTCGTGGTCAATCGCGTCTGCTCGGTTCGGAGATCACGGTCATATTCACGTATGCCCCATTTGTACTTGGAGGGATTGCGCTCGTCATCACCGCTCGTATGATCGCGCTCGCCCCCTTTCAAGGTCGCATTCAATGTCATCGGAGATCCCGACAGGGCGCCATCGTCGGGATTGGGGCCGTGGCGCACGTGCGATTGTCGAGTGAAGTCGCGCTCCTTTCCGGATGAATCAGGCGRCATAGGCAGCCAAGTTCGTTGGACWTCTGGTGGACTACTACGTAGAAGTCTACTKGCAGAAGAGRYACCTGATGGSCGSTGTGTTGCTYGATGAAGGTAGCCTCTCCCGGTCTCTCTACATGTGTGGTTGAGGCACATTATACACTTCAGTATTTCAGCGGGAGGTTCGTATGAGTTTGTTCATCCTATCGATAGGAGCGGCCTCTCTCAATCTCTCTAGCGCACGTACAAGCGGCGACATTTGCACYTGACAGCTCTGGAGACTATACTCACGCCGGGATTTCTTCCGGATGAACCTGACCGTGTTGATGGCCASGTACATTCACACGCTGGGTCGTGAAGGCTGCGAAGCAGCGGAAGGATTCTTAGTTGGTAGAGAAGGAATTTGATTGAAGAGAGAGAGGGAGAGGGAGAGTTATCTGTTCTACCTGGCGGTCAGTGTGGTCTTATGGATGTGGACCGTGATAGCTGGCTAATGCACGTTGGGAAGTACCGGTTTTGGTATGACGCAGGGTATTAGCTGTGACGTGCTGGAACCGGTTAGCAAAATGTCGATGCATCTTTCCCTGCTCTAGCGGAAGGTACGCTTTTGCGTCGCCCGTCCTATCGAGGGAAGTAGCATGAGGACGAATCGCAATTTGGAGACTTATCTGATTGTCCGCCGCAGTGCTCGTAAGTGACAGCTACGTTCTGCACAAGGAGGTACCTGGCAAAGATCACGGTCGAGTTCGGAGGATGCGAAGTATATGTTAGAATGGGGGAGGCCGACAGCTTACAAGCGAGTCAGGCTGCATGCATATTCCCTAGCTCTTGGAGGAGGTTCGCTCTCCTTGAGCACGTTTGAAGGAAGGTTGGATCAGATTGTCAACCGTCAGGGTCTTGCTGTTTGCCTTCGTGATCTGTGTGGTGGGGATAACTCTCGTCATTCCCAGTGATCATCACCATCGTGCTGCGGATGGCTGCTCATGTGTTCAAATACCTCCCTTATGGTGGTCGTGCTGCCTGCTCCAGTAGTTACCATCCTGGCTCTGCCTTTCGTGGGGGTCGTAACTTCAATATGCTACAAGAAATATGAATTGTGACTCATTGCCACTACTGATGTTTGCTCCGTCTCAGGCTCCTGCGACCGTGAGACTGTGCTGGCTGCTGTGGAGGTCGTGGGCTACAGTACTAGAGTGATCTACCATTTAGGCATAGCTACTGTTGTCTGAACCGGCGGTACAGACCAAGAGCTCCGTGTTATTGCTATGCGTGACGGTGCATGGCCATTCTTAGTTGGTAGGTGGCTTGACCCAGTTGACACGCACGGTCTCAGTTATTGTACGACTGTTCAGAACGGTGTGCTACGACTGCTATACGCTAAAGCAACCGTCAGGCATTCGAATTTTGTTAATAATAGCTATCGGGCAGCCTGTTGCCCTGGTTCGAGTTATGGCTGATACACGTTAAAGTGTCGGTGTTGTCGTTTTTGGTGAAGCCAGTACCGATCTGTTTCTTCGAGTTCCAGCTGAAGTTACATCTGGCCCAGACTGTTGCAGTCAGGGAATTACACTGATTAGTG